ATCCGAATTGCTTGTAGAGGAGAGACGATCCATTGGAGAGGAGGAGGCTCAGCGTCGATAGTCGTCTGGGGTGCAAGAGGCTATGGATGTTGATTGCGAGATGAATTCTCCGAGGAATAATCAATTTCGACTAACGAGGGACAAGATTCAGCTAGGATTAGCTGATTTCATGAATGAATCTGTTGAGGATCTGCAGAGAACAGAGGGGAATACGGAGGAGTGGGTCGATGATAGGATAGAGGATGTAAACGATGCTGATTTGTTGAGTCGCAAGGTAGATGATGGGTGTTTTGAGCCTAACGAAGTGCTGCAAGCTCTGGAAATGTATGGGTCTGAGACGAGCTCTGAGTTTGTCTCTAGTTTAAACGGCGATGGAGGTGATTAAGAAGAGTATGATTTTCAGCTGTGTAATCTCTTTAAGGAACAAGGCACTGTTGAGAAGGAGGAGGCCGAGGGTTTCTCTGAAACAATGGATCATGTCAGTGACACTGTTATCCAAGATACCACAGCTCCAGCATCTGAGAGGGGTAACACTGCTAGTCAAGTCTTTTCTTCTCTTGGGGATGGGGTAGGGCGATCTCAATGTCTGGGTCTTGATTGTTCTGTTAGGGGAATGGATGATCAAGGAGTCTTGCTGGATATTTCCAGAGCCATGATGACTGGCTCTACTATTAATCTTGTGTCCTATAATGCTAACATTCCTGTAGGCCAAGTAAATGATGCTCAAGCGGGACATTCTGTTAATCATATGCCCAGGAGAAGCTGTATTTTTAGTGGGGTGAGGGATAATAAGGTAGAAACAGAGCATTGGTTGATGGAGTTAAGCAAGCATGCGTCTTGTCCTATTGAGGAAAATGAAGTACTCATTTTCAAGCATTTGCTTTAAGTTTATGGGGCTTTCGTTAGTAAGGTTAAATGGGAGGGAGGAGGTTAGTGGAAAGGAAATTAGTGTCTCTAGGAGGGAGTGTGTTAGAAGGGGAAGGGCTTCGGTTAGAAAGGGGACTAGGGAGTTAAGGAATTTGGTGAGCACAATTAATTCTGATAGGAGACATGAGGAGGTTAGGAATGGCAATGTTTCTCAATAAATATTGTTAGTTGGAATGTGAGGGGTTTAAGCTCTCGGAAGAAGAGGGGGGTCATTAGGGATTTTTTGAGGAAACATCAACCTGATATTTTCATTTTTCAGGAAACTAAAGTGGAAGCTTGTGATAGGAATTTTATTAAAAGTGTTTGGGAGTTAGGCATAAAAAGGGGGCTTTTGTACCATCAGTGGGAAGGTCTGGAGGTCTTTTATGTATTTGGGATGAGAGGGCGGTTTTTCAGTGTGACTCTTTAGTTGGAGAGTTTTCATTATCAATTAGGTTCAAGAATCTAAATAATAGTGAGTGGTGGCTGTCGGGCGTATATGGCCCAATTTGTCCCTCTAAGAGACAGGCTTTGTAGGAGGAGTTATGTGGGTTATATGGGTTATGCTACCCCAACTGGTGTTTAGGGGGGGATTTCAATGTGGTTAGAAAGGTTTCAGAGAAGCTTAATGGGGGTAGAATCAATAGGAGTATGAGAGATTTTGACGGGTTCATTAGAGGACGTGAGTTGGTGGATTCTCCTTTATTTAATGCAGATTCACATGGTTTAACCTTAGGAAAAGTCAGGTATGTTGTAAACTAGATAGATTTTTATTTTCTTTGGATTGAGAGGAGGTTTTCCCCAATGTGAGACAGGAGGCGTTTCCAAGATTGGTGTCCGATCATTGCCCCATTATGATCGAGAGTCGTCCTTTTCCATTTAGGTTTGAGAATATGTGAATGGATCATCATTTGTTTAAGGAAAACTTTGCAGGGTGGTGGAATAATGCTAGATGTCACGGGTGGGAGGGTTTTAGATTCATGAGAAAGTTGAAGGTCATTAAAAAACGTGTGAAACTTTGGAATAGGGAGGTGTTTGGGAATTTGGAATCATCTAAACTTCAAGTTATGGGTAGAATGGAGGAGATAGACTCTTTGGAGATGCAAGGGAATGAGGTTGAGGATTTGAGGAGAGAGAGGAGGGAGTTAGGCGTGAAGTTGGAAGAGTTGAATCTTAGAGAGTAGATTTTTTAGGCACAAAAAGCAAAGGTAAGGTGGTTAAAGGAAGGGGATGTTAGTTCAAAATTCTTTCATAGGATTGCTGATAGAAAAAGGAAGAAAAAGTTCATTAAGAGGTTAAAAGTAAGGCCAAGGGTAGTGGTGGGCTCAGAGGAGCAAATAGTCTAAGGGATTTTTTATTTTTACTCAAAATTGTTTTCAAAGGACGAGAGAGTCAAGCCTGGGCTAGAAGGGCTTGAGTGGAGGCCTATTGATCAGGAAAGCGCCACTTGGTTAGAGAGACCTTTTGAGGAAATGGAGATTAAGGATGCAATTTTTGAGTGCAAGAGAGACAAGGCTCCAAGCCCCGATGGGTTTTCCATAGCAGTTTTTCAAGATTGTTGGGAGGTGGTGAAGGGGGATTTGCTGAGAGTTTTCATGGAATTTTATGAGACAGGAGTGGTTAATTTATGTGCAAATGCCACATTTATCTATTTGATTCCTAAGAGGGATGGAACCATCTGAATTGGTGATTTAAACCAATTAGTTTGGTGACATCACTCTATAAGATTTTGAGGAAGATTTTGTCAAAAAGGTTGAGGGCTTCTTTAGGGGATACAATCTCTCCAACTCAGGGGGCTTTTGTACAAGGTAGATAGATTCTAGATGTGGTTCTGATGGCGAATGCGGTGGTTAAGGAGTGTAGGAAGTCTGGAAAGAGAGGTCTTGTGTTTAAGGTATATTTTGAGAAAGCATACGATCATGTAGATTCCCATTTTTTGGATTTTGTGGTGGATAGGAAAGGGTATGGTGAGAGATGGAAGTCCTGAATTAGGGGATGTTTGGCGTCTTACAGTATGTCGGTGAAAGTCAATGGTAAACCAGGGTAGAATTTGAAGGCATCTCGAGAGTTGAGACAGGACGATCCTTTATCTCCTTTCCTCTTCATCATGGTAGCGGATGTGTTAGGAAGGATGGTGGAAAGGGCTAAAGAGGTAGGTTTGTTTGAAGACTTATAGGTCGGTAGAGATAAAATTAGTGTGACACATTTGCAATTTGTGGATGACAATTTTTTCTTCTCTGAGGGGGACGAGAGCCAAATGGTGAGTCTCTTTTCGGTGGTTAGGCTTTTTGGGGTGCTCTCTCAGGGTAAATTTAAAGAAGATTAGGGTAGCGGGTATTAATGCTGATTCAAGTTTGATTCAGAAAGTGGCTGAGTTACTTGGGTGTGGTATAAAGACATTTCCGATGAAGTATTTGGGGCTCCAGCTGGGAGGTAACCCAAGGGGTGAAGTGTTTTGGAATCCGGTTGTGGAAAAGATAGGAAAGAGGTTAGAACGGTGGAGAAGGGCTTTACTATCTCGTGGGGGTAGGTACACTCTGGTTAAGACAGTGCTAAGTGGAATTTCAATTTATTTCATGTTTGTGTTTAAGATTCCAGTCAAGGTAGCAAAATCTATTGAAAAGTTAATGAGAGATTTTCTTTGGGAAGGGAAAGATGAGGGAAGGAAGGATCATTTGGTGAACTAGGAAACGGTGTCCTTATCTAAGGAGATGGGGGGTTTGGCCATTAGTAATATAGTGGCTAGAAACAAGGCTCTGCTAGGCAAGTGGTTATGGCATTTTCCCAATGAGTGTGGTTCATTATGGCATGCGGTTATTAAAAGTAAATATGGGACTCAGGTTAATGGTAGGGACTCTCAGGTGGTCTCGAGGGGTAACGGGCGTGCTCCTTGGAAGTTCATTTCTCAAATTTATCCAGTTTGGTCCCGATTCATTTCTGTGAGGGTGGGTAATGGGGAAAATGTCAAATTTTGGGAGAATGTTTGGGTGGGCTCGACGTCCTTGGTTGAGTCCTATCCACTTTTGTATGGCGTTTCTCAGTCTCATAATTGTTCTGTTGCGTCTGTGGCGGGTTCTTTGGTGGCTCCTTTATCTTGGAATTTTAATTTCCGCCAGAATCTTCATGAGAGGGAAGTTTCGGAATTGGTTTCTCTTTTGTCAAGACTTGAAAATGTTTCTTTGTCTCCAAATTTGAAGAATAGGTTGGTTTAAAATATTCATTCGTCGGGTTTTTTTACTTGTAAATCCTTTCTTGATAAAATCAATGATACTTCTCATAACATGATTTGGAAGGCATGTGCTCCTCCTACGGCGAAAATGTTCATATGGATCTTGGTTCATGGGGACACTTTGACAAATGATTCATTGCAAAAGAGGAGACCTTCGCGGTATCTTAATCCTCAATGGTGCATCATGTGTTGTAAAAGTGGAGAATCTCTGGATCATCTCTTTTTGCATTGCTCGATGGCTAGGTGGTTATGGCATAGGGTGTTTGGATTGGGTATTGTGATGTGGGTGGCCTCAACAGGATGTGCTCAAATGCTATAATTTGATTTTCAAGTTTTTGGAAGGTCGAAGAGGGCTAAAGTGCTTTGGAGTAGTGTCGTCTTTGCAATTTGCTACATTGTTTGGTTGGAAAAAAACGCCCGTGTTTTCGAAGGAGTTGCCCAGGATATAGACTATTTATGAGATAGGGTGAGATACTTAGTGTCTTTTTGGGCCTCAGCGAGCTCAATATTCTGAGGGATTCCGCTTTTTTTGCTTGCCACCGATTGGGTGTCAGTTTGTTCTGTGTAGTAGTTTTGAGTTTGGTATTTTTGTATTTTCTTTTTTCTCTTTTTGGTTTTTTCCATCTCTCTTGTAAGAGGATGCCTTATCCTCTTTTTTTCTTGGCCTTGTGCCTTAATATATCTTTGTTGGTTGCCGATCAAAAAAGAGATCCCAGAACAAAGCAGCATGGAGACCATCTTGAGCAAAGCAGGTGAATTCAATATAAATAATCTTATTAAGCTACAAATTCATAGAACAACCTATGAACAGTCTAGAAGCCAAAAATAGTAATAATAACCATACAGAAAGTGGTCAGAAACTAACCTGGGTGGCATTAGCAGTGGCAACATTAACTGAATATCCTGCTGGAGCTTTCCATTCATTTCGCAGCTCTCTAGAGGTAGAACTGACCAGTCTTACAGAGCTTGAAGTAACCTGTCATGGCGATTCATCAAAAAAACACAAATAGATTGTAGTAATCATTCTATAAGAAAAAGATTGATCCACTCATGTAACTCATACAAAGAAAGCACGTCTATCAATAAGTGATAAACAGCAATAATAACATGTCAAGCACCAGTTGAAGAACAACAGAGGAAGAAAGCAAAGACATAAGTGCTCTGTCTATCTCTGCACGCATATATGTACTAGTGCATGCATCCGTGTGCATTTAGTTTATGTAATATGCTTTATGTTCTGTCACGTCATTATCAAAGAGAATTGTTTAATATTAGTTCACATCTACCTAATGAAGCAACCACAACCATCTATTTTGTCATAGTGTGCCAAAAGTTTACAGCTAATTTACCTAGACATAGAGTTCAACAGCAACCAATCCTAAAAGATGGTTCCATAGGTCCATATCATCTGGCAATACAAGCAGTTCTACAAAAAAGTTTGGTGCACGGAGGGATTGTTAAATTGGTGTGAAAAGCAGCACCAGTTTTCCTGTAATGGTGCTTATGGAATGAGTGGGCTAGACATCCCTTTGCAGTGGCACAATGACAATCTGAAATTGTAAATAGATGCTCAGCTTCCCTCTTGATTAGCTGGTGATTCGCAGTTACACTATTCTTTCTCAGATTTTTTTGGGGCAAAGACAAGAATATGGCTTTCTTTTGCTTTGATTTGTTCTCTTTTGGTACACCTCATATGTTATGAGTTTTGTCCCCTTGACACTACCTAGTGAATAGTTTAAAAAAAAAAAAAACAAAGGACTGGTGCCCAAGTAAATAGAACATTATTGAGCATCTGTCCTGGTCCAAAGCAGCAATTTCAATTTTGTCCCTTTCGAAGAAGCAAAAATTGAAAATCATGAAATTGAAGAATTTGATGCTACTTCCCACAGTTACTTGCTTAGGGGTTGATTGTAAGTTTTGATTGGTTCCAAGTCAAATTTCTCAGGAGGAGATGATAATATAGATTTCTTTCTTCTATACTCGTCATATGTACATGCATAGTTGTCAAATTGAAAATCGTATCGTGAATCGCGCAAATTATATAGAATCAAGAATCATAATTTGGCACAAACTGTAAAAAATAGCGTCAAACATTCATATATATTATATATGTAAAAAAAAGTTGATTTTGCCACATGTTATACAATAGTTCTTATATTAGGGTTTCTAGTTCTCTCACCATCATGACATACAAGTAAGCAATTCTTGAAGATTTAATTGAGAGAATTACTTTCAGCAATTGGAGAAAAGATCCATTTAGCAACACATTAAAGACAAGAAAACCAACCTGTACAAGTTGATTGTACACAGCATCATGACAGAACAAAGTCTGAACTTGGGAACAAAAGCCCTCTATCTCAGTTTCTTCCAACTCATCCTCAAGATTCATAGCCAAAATTCGCGTCTCACTAATAAAACTAACCACCAAGAAGGTGTCATAGGGATCATCAGTAGCTGCTCTAAGTGACCACATTCCTTTGATGCCTTGAAGCTCTACCGATGCCTACAAAATGGCTTTGTGCATGAGCTTAGCGGAAACAATTAGAAGTTGAAGAAAAAATTGCGGGAAAAAAATATAAAGCAATTTCAATAAAGAAAAACCTGTTCATTGATTCCAATTCCATTTCGAACTATGCGAAGAGACCCATCTTTATAGGCTCCAGAGCAAGTTACAACCTGACCTTGACCTTGCCTCTCGAGGTCAACCACACAAAAGTCAACAATCGGGCCCAAATTGACATACTTTTCTAGAACTTCTACATAAGAACCTTTCGTATCTGGTTGGAGATTTAGTTTTATCAGCTGCAATGCCACCGGAAAATCAAGTTGAGATAAAATCGCAAATGAAAAACTGAGAACACTTGCATTAATAGAAAATCATGAGAATTAGTCTTGAGAACAAGTATTTCACAAACATAATATAGCATGCACATTGTATAACGTTAAACCATTCTAAAATTACAAAAGAAATAAACAATTATACAAAATAAAAAACACAATATCTACTAAATTACATTTAAAAATTGCAAACAACATGAACATGAAATGAAACTGAAATCACTTGCATCAAAATATGACTATGAGAATTGTAGAGAACCTTTTTCACAACCACAGTATATCTATCCTTCATACTGGGGGTGTTTGGGAACCTAGCTTTAAGGAAGGAAAAAAAAGCCCAAAAAAAAATTTTGCCCAAAAACCACCAAAAAAAAAAAAAAAAAAAAAAAAAAGGCCGGCAGTGGGCTGTCACTATGGTGCCTACACCGTCACAGTGACAGGTAGGTAAATTACAATTTTACCCCTTTAGATTAATTTTGGAAAATGTGAAGTTAGGGACAAATTTGTCATACTTCAAACATCATTACAACACATTTTTCAATACACCAACTCAAATAAAAATCCATCCTATCTTTCCAAGCACAAACTAAAATAGTCTACTAAAATAGCCAAAAAGCCTCTAAAATAGCCACTTCCCAAACACCCACACTGTGCATCTTTAAATACATTCTCAAATTAAGAGAGAGAGAGAGAGAGAGAGAGAGAGAAAATAATAAGCACCAATATCTAAAAAATTTGGACTTAATTTACAATAAAATTTAGTGTCAATATTTTAATTTCTTGAGGCCAAAAATAGAAGCATTAGGATGTAAGTATGTATACTTTTAGAAAGATGGCATTCCATTCCATGGCGATGACTATTACACATCTTTATATAGCAAGAACGTGTGAATGAACTAACAAAGCTTCTGGTCAAGGAGGTTTTCTCTTTGTGAATAATAAAGTGCCAACAACAGAATGTTATGATAGAACAGAAGTTTAAATGTTCCAACGGTCACGGGAAAAAAAAAAAAGAAAAGAAAAGAAGTTATAGTTGCAAAAGTTATATCATGAACTTGTCTTGTAATGTATGACCACATTATTGGAATCTATGTTCTAACTAACAGCATCAAATTTCCAAGAGCCTTGCAAAATATGCTCTGCCAGTGCACATAAACATCATGTCATAATTAATTTTCCCCTAAAAATGATAGGGCACAAAAAAAGTAGATGTTATCATCAATCAGGCAACAAGAGCCAAAGTAGAAAGTCCACCTTGATCTTATATTAAGAATTGTGACGTCAAGATAAATATTTTTTTACAATTATGTTCAAATTAATTCTTCCTAACAAATGCCAAAAGAAATTAAATCATTGTATGTGTCCTATAAATGTGGGCATATACCCATTTTAAATGAAATTCACATCCCAAATCTTTGTCACAATATAAACAGTTACCCCATCATGAAATTTTAGAACTAATGGAATCAAGCCATATTTTACTTCAAAATATGACATTCAAAATAAGATAATTTTCTTTTATATACCTGTGAATCTCCATAGCTTGAGCCAACATAAACAAATGCATTATCAAGATATGATATAGTCGATGCAATAGAAGTTTCCCCCAGGAGTTCAATTTTGAGTCCAGTCACTCTGAAATAATATAAAATATGAATCCACGTCAGACGAATCTAGAAAGCAAACATTGTTTTGTTTATTTTATCATTTAGAAAAGTGAAGGTTGAGGGCAGTAACTCAATTATCCGAATAAAACAAGAACAATCACTCACTTTTCTTTCTCATGGATTATAACAAGAAGGTGAAGAAGTCCGGCATGATCACCAAGTAAGTATCTAGAACCATCAGCATCAACCCTTCCATAGGCTCTTGTGATGGACTGCAAGTACACATCACAGAAAGAGTAATATCATAATTTCTCACTAAAAAATTGGACCTTGCAAATCCTTAGAAAATAACTTTCTTCTATTGGAAGGAGGAAGGACACGTGTTGCAAATAAGTGACTTACAGGTCTAATTGGGATTGCTTTAAATGCAGAGGCACTACAATACACAATTGTTTCTTCTCCAATAATAAGAACACCACAGAGAGGCGGTGGTACTGGAATGAGCAAAGCAGCCCCATTATCAAGATTATTCTGAGACCATGGACCCTCAACAAAATCTTTATCCTTCAGAGCAACCTCATATGTTTTGACATGACGAGCATCCTTGTTATCCTGCAAAATAAGATAACAAAGACATGATAACACTAGAACTTTCTACCACAAATAACTCTGATATTACTAAATAAAAAACTAGATGCAGCTGATAATCATGAAATTCATATGTTATGCATAGCCTGTAGGTACATGAAAAGAACAGACAAACAGTTGTTACATGGATCTTCAAGAGATCTATACTAAAAAAGAAACTAAATCCATTTGTCAACCCAACATAAACAGCATCCATGGGAGAAAAAAGAAGGCCAACTTGATCGATACTCAACATTATTAGGGTTTGTTTGAGAGTTGTAACACTTGAACAAAATACAGATAAACAGCAAAATAGTAACCTGGTAGAGAACAACGATGGTCGGTCGCGGGTCAAATTAAGTAGATTCATATCTCTATTTATAACGCTAGTCAACGTTAATCTAGGCCTACCTCGTCCCCTAACACTTCCATCTACTGTTACAGCATCGCTTCTCTTCACTACTGCCTCTGTTGGTCTCCGTTGAATATGACCAAACCATCTCAAACGATTCTCTCTCAACTTATCTTCTATCGGTGCTACTCCTACCCATTCCCGAATACACTCATTCCTAATCCTGTCCTGTCAAGTCTTACCACATATCCACCTTAGCATCCTCATCTCAGCCACACTCATCTTATCCACATGTTGTTTCTTGGTTGCTCAACACTCCGTCCCATATAACATAGCTGGTCTAATAGCTGTTCTATAAAACTTACCTTTTAGTCTAGTGGGTATTCGTTTATCGCACAATATCCCAAACGCACTTCTCCACTTACACCATTCTGCTTTAATCCTATGGGCCACATCTGCATCAATCTCTCCCGCTGTTGTGATAATCGACCCTAAATAACGAAAATATTCACTCTTAGGCAGTTCTTGGTTCTCAATATTCACTTCTCCTCTGCTTTCATTGTTACTGTTACTAAATTTACACTCCATGTACTCTGTCTTAGTTCTGCTTATCCGAAATCCTTTAGATTCAAGCGCTTTTCTCCAAATCTCCAACTTTGTGTTAACTCCTTCTCTAGTCTCATCCACTAACACAATATCGTCTGCAAAAAGCATACACCATGACACGTCAACCTGAATATTTATCGTCAACTCGTCCATAACTAAAGCAAAAAGATAAGGACTTAAGGTAAATCCTTGGTGTAACCCTACAGTGATAGGAAATTCATTTGTCTCTCCAGCTGGCGATCTAATAGTGGTCACTACCCCTTCATACATGTCCCTAATCACGTCAATGTAGCCTTTTGTCACCCCTTTCTTCTCTAACACCTACTATATTATATCTCGGGGCACTCTGTCATATGCAAGGTTCTGAAAAGCGGTTGCGGTCGCCGTAACGGTGGCGGTGACGCGGTTGCGGTTGTGGAATGTAAAGGCCATAGCGTAACGGTTGCAGTAACTGGGACCGTGAATTTTTTTATTTTTCGTACAATTTGAATAAAACTTACCGATACGCACATTTTTTTTCCATGATCATATTTATTGGGTTTTAAAATAAATATTGATCAATTTTTATAAATTTTTAAGTTTGATCTAATATATTTCATATTTTTAAATCACTATAAACTGAATTTTCTACATTTTATTTTAATAATTAATGACTATATTTTACAAAAAAGCAATCACTAACTATTATATATAAGATAAATAATGACAAAAGTAAGAGATTAAATAAGAGCCTAAATAAATATATATACATATACATATTTTAACCAAGCCAAATACATAATGACCACACTTATTATTATTATTTTCAAACAATATATAGATAGACACACACAAACAAAATGGTTTAGTGATAGCAGCTGAATAGAATAGCATAGATCTTACAGCTTAAACAAATCAGTAACATGTTCTTCATCTTCCCTCCTCACTCTCTATCTCTTGCTCCTTCATTTTCTCTCTATCCCTCTTCCCCCATTTTTAGCTTTTTTTTGTGTGTTTTTTCAGAAGAAACAGTTTGGAACCGTTACGTAACGGTGCTGTAACAGTTGTAACGGCCTGTTGCGCACCGTTACGACCGCTACGGCAGCCGCTGCGGCCGACACACCTGTGAATCTCAATCAATCATACTGCAAAAGTGCCGTAACGGGTGCGGAACTACCACAACCGTTACGTAACGGCGTTACGTAACGGTTGCGGCCACTTTTTAAAACCTTGGTCATATGCTTTCTCAAGGTCGATAAACACTATATGATGTCTCTCTTTTCTCTTATACTTTCATTACTCTCCTCAAAAATAGATTGCTTCCATTGTTGACCTACCAGCAAAAACCCAAATTGATTCTCTGACACCTCTGTTATGTCTCGCAATCGGCATTCCATCACCCTTTCCCACACTTTCATTATATGACGCATAACTGTATTCCTCTATAGTTGTTAAATTCTGGAAATCACCTTTATTCTATAGATTGACATCAAAAATACTCCTTCCTCCATCTCAGCTGCATGTTCTTAGTCAACAAAATTTTGCTAAACAACCTAGTCAACCAAGCAACTTCCTTTTCCCAAACACTTCCAAGCTTCAACAGGATATCATCAGGTCCTAAAACCTTATTTGATTTCATCTTCTTAAGTGCAATCTCCACTTCAAAGTTCCTAATCCTGCGATAGAACCTATAGTCTGGTTTATCGTATTACTGGTTATTCTTTCCCTATTGACGTGCTTCTATGTTCCCCATTTAACAGTTTCTTCTCAAAATAATTCTTTCCATCTTTCCTTAATCCATCATCCCTTCACCAATACCTTAAGAATCCTCACTCTTGATGCACTTTACTTGATTAAAATCTCTTGTTTTCCTCTTCAAGGTCGAAGGCCAGTTGTATACCCTCTTCTCTCCCTCCTTACTATCTAGTTTAGTGTATAGGTCATCATAAACTTTTAACTTAATCTCTCTCACTACTTTCTTGACCTCCTTATTAGCCAATCTATAGCTCTTAAGGTTTTCCTCAGTTCTATCCTTCTGCCACTTTTTAAAGCACTCTTTTTTTGCCTTAACTACCGCTTGGACCTCTTCCCTCCACCACCAAGTTTCCCTAGAGCTGGGTCCCGTTCCTTTCGACTCTCCAAGCACTTCCCTTGAGATTCTCCTCATACAATTGGCCATCGAATTCCACATAGTGTTAGAATCACCTTCTAAGTCTCAAGTACCTTCCTTATCCATTCTATTCTTAAATATTTCTAGTTTATCCCCTTTTAGGTCCCACCATCTCGTCCTACGACGCCCACCATCCTTCCTAGCTTGGTATTGCCCTCTAAAACATAAATCTAGCACCAAAATCCTATGTTGAGAGACCAGACTCTCTCTAGGAATCACCACAAATAACTCTAAAATTACTAAATAAAAAACTAGATGCAGCTGATAATCATGAATTCATATGTTATTCATAGCCTGCAGGTACATGATAAGAACAGACAAACAGATGTTACATGGATCTTCAAGAGATCTATACCAAAAAAGAAACTGAATCCATTTGTCAACCCAACATAAACAGCATCCATGGGAGAAAAAAGAAGGCCAACTTGATCGATACTCAACATTATTAGGGTTTGTTTTTGAGTTGTAACACTTGAACAAAATACAGATAAACAGCAAAATAGTAACCTGGTAGAGAACAACAATTGTCGGTCGCGGGCAACCATAGAGAAATTTGATATCCAAAACCTGAAGCTCCTCAAGTCTGAAACAAGCCACCATTAAACATGCAAGTTACAGAGAGGATCATATACAGTCAAACAAGTGCAAGAACTACTATTTAATTGGGTGTAGTAAACATGTTATTGGAAGCTCAAGCCACAAGCCACAAAGAATAACATGGAACCAAATGTATATGCCACTATATCACAATTCTACTATTTTGTGGATCAGTAGTATTCATAGTTCTTTCTTCATATGAATGTTTGGCATTCTTAGGAATGCAGCTCAACACTCAAAACATACCTGGAACTATTTCCCAAAACAATAATACATCATATGCATGACAAGAATCACCCTTCAACAAAATTACTATTCGCAACCAATGTTTTTAAAGGCGAATGCGTAAATCGAGGCATTTGACCTCTCATGAGGAGAGCAGTAAGCCTTAAGGCGTCGAGGCGCAAGCATTTCGAATTTTAAATTTTAATATTTAGCAAACAAATTAAATATTTTTAAATAGTGAAAAAATAAATAAAAAGGTGCAAATATTTTTCTCCGTAAGACGTCGAACATTTCATTGCAGAGAATGAAACTTACCTTCATTGAAAGTGAAATTGACATTCTTAGCTTTAGTGATTGAGCTTCTCAATTGAGCATTCACTTAGTATTTTTTCTTGAATGGTTATTTACTTACTTTTTTATAGAATATAGTCACAACAAGGGTTCTTTCTTATTTTTTGCTTTTGATGTTTAAACCATCTACTAGACTAAGTTTAACAAGTGCCTAAGACAACCTTTTCATATGCGTACTTTTCATATGCTTATGTGCAAAGGCGTACAACGTGCATCTAAGGCACATGCCTTAGATTGTGATGCACAAGATTTTGGGGAGTATAGCCTAAAAATCAAAGTCTTGATGCGTTTTACATTTGCCTTGAAACCTTGTTCGCAACCAGCTATGTATCTTCAAAAACCTTCATAATCAATATTTTAAGTGGCCAGCAAATTTTACCCAAACCAAACTAAGACATGTGTCCCACTTAGGTAGGGTTGGCTACATAAATCTTTTTTTCCATTCTGCTTTGTCAAGAAATTAAATAATTCATATATTTTTTTAGTACTTCTTCCCATGTTAGTTTAGGTTTTTCCCTCCTTAAGACTGGGACTTGCTCTTTAATGGAAAAAAAAACTGCCTGGTAAGCTTGAAAAGTTTCTATGTTTGGAGCTGAAATTTTGTGAGGACTAGGAAAACTGAGTTTCAAGATAAAGTGAAATGAAACTGAAGTTCAAAGATTGTACCCTAGTTTCGTATATCTTTTGCTTCAATGTAATCCTTCGCAAAAGACTTCGTGAAGAAAAAAGGAAAAGTCAACTAATTTCTGCTAGTGCATCAAAACTCCACCAAAGGTATTTATGAGAAGAAACAAGCAAGTCCAGCATATAAGATATCTTAAGTCTAACCTATTATTAACAATTAAATCTGGGACACCATACATTAAACCATTCTCTCATTTTTGGGGACATCTAAGAATCACGGATACTTCTAAAAAGGTGGCGTATCACCGATACTCATCAGACACTCTCCCGACACATGTCCGATGCTCATCCAAACATGTCTTAGTTTTTTATAAAGAATTTAGAACTTGGACACTCTTTGGACATTTGAAGGACACGCTGGTCCATTGACTAGACATACGAAACTAATTATAAGTTTGAACAAAATAACTTAAAATAAAATGATAAAGGAAAAATAATGTCAATTTATAGAAATTAGTGTTCTATTGTATTTATTTATTATCTTAGAATGACATGTTCATATGTATGACATATAACAAATATATAAAATTATATATTCTGTGCTTGTCCCCCACATGTCGTGTCCTATATTTTTTGAAAATTGCCGTGTCTACGTGTCCGTGTCCGTACTTCTTTGGGGGACATTGCATCTAACCAACTACTGTCCCCATTAGTTAATATAACCCAAGAAATTACCCAAGTTTAAGCAAACATAACCTTAAACTCAATGCAATAATTAAAAAAATAAAAGAAAAAAAGAACATACACGCATCATATATAAATTACGAGTTAGCTTATACAATATTCATGTTGGCCACACACACACTATTCATAAAATATACATATACCAGAGTACTTTCTCTATAGCCAATTCATCATCAAAATTGCAATGAATATAAAGTTTTCACAAAAATAATATTAAGAGAGGATACCTAATGTTGAATGCTTCCTTAAGCTGCCCTTTATTATCAAATGGAATAACCTGATGAAAACACACAGTGGTCATTCTAAAACCATAAGGAACCATAAATGTACAAAATCATGGGCTAAACAATACAAAATGTATAAGGTATTAAAGAAGTATTAGCAGTTTATAAGAGCATATACCTTAAATAATCCATCATACAGATGGAGTCCAATCAATCTGCAATCAGGATCAATAATGCCAATCTGAAAACCAAAAAAAAAAAAAAAAAAAAGGAAAATGCCACCTTGAGAAAAATGTAAAATCCTAACTTTGCAGATTTTCTGCATAAACTAAATTAAAGATCTGAAATTCAACAAGTGACAAGTGACAACACAGACATATTTAATAATAATTTTATCTAACAATTCAAGTTAATACCTGGCCATTATCTGTAGGACGACCTATACGATCCGAGACATCCCCCATTGCTCTGCAAGAGAAATTACATAAGTTCAACAATGAAAGATGAAGAAGAAGAAGAAGAAGAGGAAGAACCAGTCATCATCAGTTCTACCGATGAGGCCAAGAAAAGGATGCATGATTTATGTGAGGTAAATATGAAAGGATCGTAAATAACGTAAAGCACTTTTGTAGAAATGAAACTATCGTGAAAGCTTAATATCCAAATGAAAAGCAAACCAAATATTTCTCTATCATGCTTAAACCTTGTAATAACCTCAGCTGCCTCAGAGTCCCATTGAAGAACACAGAATTTATATCTTTCTGTTGCAATGAACAAAAGATCTTGTGCTTCACCCTGTTAGTAAAGCCACAAATTAAACATGAACACAAGAAGACTTAAGTTTTTGGAATATTACTTCTTTATTAAAATTCAATATTTCAAACCATATACTCACATGAGGTCGAAAGAGTTCAAGCGTTGCAATTCTTCCATATATCGGCACATCCAACATAGGCTGCAGCAGAATAAACTTAATTTAACATAGAACCCAAACTTTTTTTTATAAGCTATATAGTTTTTGACATACCCATAGCCGACAAAATAATCAACCCTCATCTGTGTTAACTCAATATTTATAACTGTCACTGTAACTCAAACAACCATGATCGGTACACTAATTATATTCTTAAACTTTATCAATTAAAACTATTTTCACAGCAATGGTGGGTTAAACTTGACAAGCAACAAGGTCTAGGAGAAACCTTCAAGGCTTTGTGTTTGTTCTTGCGAGAAGACATTAAGTAGGTAGTTGAATTGCCCATTGTAACCTGTAAGTCACCGGTTATTGGGGTGAATACATGAAACCCTCAATTGGTGGATTGGAATCTTCAACCAAGGGGGTTGCAGAAGTGTAGATGTTCACAAGAAGTGGCCAAATCACTATACATTTTGTGATCATCTCTTTATTTACGTGTCATAATTTTTCATATATTAAATGTGTGAGATTGTTGAGCCTTCAATAATATAACTTTAGATGTATATGTGATTAAACTCGTATCATTCTTGATATGGTGAAAAGGGCATAGACCTTAATAATTGAACATGGTAAAGTGAATAAACCTTAATAATTGAGCATCTTGTAAACTTGCACAAACTTGGATGACCAAGAATTAGGTTAGTTGACCAGACACCAAGCTAGTAGGCCCAATACATTGCAAAAACAAGAGATTTTGCATTGGGGCTGAACTGAGCTAAAAACTCTATAAAGTTTAATTACTTTAAATTTTGATTAAAATTTAGGAATGTCCTATTCAACCCACCCACTTCCATTCTACAACACTTTCAGAGTCTTTGTCTAAGTTCATCTTATCCTAATATCTTACATTGGCCACTTATATACCAAATGGGTCGAGGCTGAAGTTATTTTATCATACAATGACAAAGTTTCCCCATTGTTTAGTAGATAGTTGCCAAATATCACCGAACTGACAAGTGAATTGATATAATTGGAAAGCAACATATGCTAGGCATGAGTTTTAGTCTTCAATTTTGGCATACACATCAGGATTACATATACTAATGAGAAGTAATATTCGCAATTGGTGAATTCTGCAACTTCACATAGATTTGGCTTTAAGTAAAAAACTTTTGTGGGCATGTTTTTCGTTTTCATGTGTGTGATCAAGGATCTCTTGCAAGATTAACTTGTGGGTATACTTAAACAATCTTGACTCAGCAAAATTTCCAAACCAACTACGATATGAAATGAACACAATATGAAAGGAAAGAGGGAAATGAAAGAAAAATTATCAAATAAAGAAGTCAATCAACAAAATTTAAATAAAAAATTATAAAGGGTCTGAAGAGCAAAAAAATGCTAACTGTAATGAGAGTTGGGAAGACAAATTAAATAGTACCTGCAAACCCTGGGGAGTAAGTAAATGAATCTCGATACGGGTGCATTTCCTGAGATGAATCAACATGTGAGCACAAACCCTAAACTCGAATATATGGAAAAAGTAAAAACAACAATTTTTACGACAAAATAATGAAGATAAAGGAAAACCCAGGAAAAAAAATCCCCAAATTTCTGTGATAAGATAGCCTAATAGAGAGCAATCTAATAGAAATAGACAAAAAAAAAATATGCAAACAACTCTAAAAAACTGCATAAAATGCATACGAGAAAAGAGATAGTGAACAATCGGAGTGAGCTTACGCAATGATGAGATTGAGTTCTTGAGGGCCATTGCCCCAGAACGCAGGAAAATGCGTGAGTTGGTGGTGTGGGCTTGTGAGCCGTGACTACGTAGTTCCATATACTCATCTTCTCGTTCTCTTTCTCTCTCTCGCTCTGTGGAACCCTAACCCTCTCTCTCTCTCTCTCTCTCTCTCTCTATATATATATATATATATGTGTGTGTGTGTGTGCGTGACAAGTGTGATAAAGATTGAGGTTTGAGTCGGGTGTTTGTAGCTTTTGAAGTGGGTTTTCCCTTTCAAGCTGCAGCTGTGAATGGTAGAGACAGAAACATCACCACCACCGGATATACAGTAACACTACACACACAATGAGGGAGACACACAACAGAGACAGTGGCCGACAGACACCGGGATAGGCTAAAACGTCGTCGTATTCATGCTTAGGGCTGACATGATTTGACCTTTTTTTTTTTGTGGGAGAAAAAAATTGATGCGTATAATTTGTGAAAAATTAAATTGTTAATGGAAAACTATTTTTTTAACATTTTTAATTTGTTTTTTTAAGGTTTAGTTTGGACACATCTTTAAAAAGTCAAAAAAATCACAAATCACTAAATTAAAAAGTCAAAAATCATTAAAAAAATTAAAAATTCTTTTTTTCTCTACTTTTTATAAGTTTTTCATAAAAAATCAAAAAACTATTCTAAGCATATTAATTTTTTTACCTCATATTTTAGTAAAAAAATTAAAAAATTACTAAAATAACCTATTTCCAAACCAACTCTAAAGTTGGGAGTGTAAAAACGATCTGCAACCCGCCGTGAGCCCGTCTTGTTTAGGCCCATTTGGGCTAGGGACCGAGCCGGAGCCCAGGTCGAGCCTCTAGGCTTGGGCCTGAGCCATCATTTTGAAGCTCAGCCTAACCCGTGGACTCAACCTGCTTAAGGCCTACTCAAAGCCCCGCCAGAGGTCCGGACCGCCCAAGATCCAATGTCTTTTTTAGTAGAAAATAATAAAATTTTGGTAAAAAAATTAAAAAAAATGGCCATGCCCGCCCAAGCTCGAGGCCAAGCCTAGGCCCATTGGGTTGGCCCACCCAAGGCCTGAATACCCCTGGGCTTGGGCCTAATTTTTTTGTCCGTGGGCAAGCCTAGCCCGAATTTTGGCGAGAGCCCGCGAAGCCCAACATGGCCTAGGCCCGGCCTAGGCCAAATTTACACCCCTATAGTTGGTATTCCTATGGTTCAATTTAGTTTTGTGCAGCGTGTTGGGGAATTTTCAAAATGGGTTTTCAAAATTCATGGTTTAGTTTTTGGGTGTTTTTAAAATCTTCCTTATTTTTCTTTGAAAAGCTTGAAATAAACTTGGGGATTTTGTCCTACATTGGAAAGAAAGAAAAACATTGAGCACTTAACAAAGTGTTATATGAAATATTCCTTTGAATATGGAATTGTGGAATGGATGCTAGTGTACATGCACTCACACCGCAAGGATGGAACTTCACACCATCCGCACAAGCACGCGCGCGCGCATGGCGTAGGCAGTGGGTTGTGTGGCTTTTGATGGCGCACTTTGCACGGACACATCGGCGCCATAAGGGCGCTTTCCTATTTGCGTGCATGTCCGATTTGGAGCAGTTTGATCATAGTCGTTGATTGGAGATGCGCGCAATCGTACAGATAGATGGCACCCGATTATGATTAGGTACGATCTATCAAGGCATTTATTCGGTGTGAGAATGATTTGCACCATAGATCGTCGATCTAACGGTCAGATCTGATCGGATGTGATCAAGGGACTTGATCATTCGATCAGATGTATCAAGGCCTATAAATAGGCTGCAAAATTAGCCATTTTAATCATTCAAAATTCAGAAAGCATTCCTACAATTCTCTCTCTCTCTTTCTCTCTCTCCCTCTTGATTTAGAGTTTTCAATCAAGAGTTTCTTAAGAAAATTTCTGTTT